GGTTCGGACACGCGACAGGGTGGGGTGAGGGAGGGGCGGTAAGCGGAGGGAGGACGGGGCGGAGGGGAGATGAGCCAGGCAGGTAGGAGGGGGGGAGGAGCAGGAAAGGATGGGGGGGGCGGGGCGGCAGAAGGGAGGAAGGAGGGAGAGGAAGCTAGAGGAGAGGTGGTTGCTAGACCTCAGCTCCTCGCCCCATGGAGGGCGGGAGTAAACGATTATGGGGACCATCTCTCCCTGCAGCGAACAAGAACCTTGTAAGAGCCCTGGATGGCTCTGTCAGTCAACCTCAGTTTCTGAGCATCTGCTCTGTCCCAGGAAATGTTTTGGGGCTGAACTCAGCAAGGGAGGTCACTGCTCTCAAGAAGCTTTCTAGTGTAGGTGCTAGGGACGGGGTGACACAGGGAACTCCAAAACAAGTGAATACAATACTTCCTAAAATTAAGTGCTAGAGAGTGGTGGGGGCAGGGAAAGACTTCCATTGGAAGATCAGAAAAGGCCCTTCAGAGGTGACATTTGAGCTGAAAGCTGAAGGATGAGAGGGAAGCCTGGTGAAGACCTTGGTGACAACCATTTCAGGCTCACAGAAAAGCAAGGGCAGAGATCTGGAGGCAGGAGCCAGTTCAGTGTGTTCAGCTGAAGCTCTAGGTGAAGGAGGGGGAAAGGTGAGGGCGATGGAATCACAAGGCCAAGAGCGTGCATGATGATGTAGGTCATGATAAGGGCTTTGGATTTGTTCTGGTTGCAGTGGGAAGCCAGTGGAGGACTTTAAGTAATGGACTGCCCCTGACCTGACTTACATTTTAAGACATTGGATGAAGAATGGACAAGAGATAGGTAAGAGTGGAGGCAGGGAGACAAATTAGGTGGCTTTTGCAGTAATCCAGGCAAGAGCAGATGGTGCCTTAAATTAGTGTGTAGCAGGGGACTGGCGAGAAGTGGTCAGATTCAGGATTTATTTTGGAGGTGGAACCAATTGGAGTGATGAGAAGAACCAAGGATGCTTCCTGAGATTTTTATCCTGAACAGTTGGATGTGTGTTGATGCCACTTCTGTGATAAAGAACGTTTGCAGAGGAGGCACATTAGACATCCAAGTGGACGTGTAGACAAAGTAGTTGAAATTACAAATTTGGAGCTGGAGATGTAAATGCAGAAGTCATCAGCATATCAAAGGTATTAAAAACCATGGACCCCAATGCCCAGGGGGAGAGTATGACAGAGGTCCAAGATCAGACCCCTGGGGCACTACTATGTGCAGAACTTTGACAGACGTGGAGAAGCAGCCTACGAAGGAGGGAGAAAACAGAGACACAGTGATCAAAACTGAGAATTTATCAAAAAATATTTTTGCTAACTCACTACACACCTGGTTCTCAGAATTTTTAAAAAACTAATCATCAATAAATTTAAATTGTACTTCTTTGGAGAGAATTCTCAGTATTTATCATTCTTCACACAAAGTTGTTTTTAGAGCTTTTTTTTTTTGTAGACTCTGTGGTTTCACAATTTGGAAATTATAGGAAAAAAAATTTTTGAGATAAACATCTTTGAATGAAACTATCCCCACTACCCAGAAGATATGATCCTAAAAATGTTGCATTTATTTTATCCATTCATCCATTTCACAAATATTTACAAAATGCTATAAGTGCACGGTCCATAAAACCATATTTAGCAGTGAACAAAACATACTAAAAATCCCTGCCCTCAAAGAGCTTACATTCTAGTAATATTACTGTGATAAATAGCCCAACAAAAAACTGTTCAAATAATTAATCACAATCAATGCTACTCCTAATTGATTATACAAGACCAATAGATCCTACGTCC